CCGACATTTTAGGGCTACAGAAAGTGCTTTTTCTAGAACCTGCTCGGTATCGTCGATAATACGCCGTGTAGGTCGTTCATAGAGATCGTTGCTGGCACGGGCGGCTTGACGGAGGAGTCCGGCGAGCTTTTCCGTCTTGGATTTGAGTTCAGCACATTCTTGCTTGTTGTTACAGGCTTCCTCGGCGACCTTGATGACTTGGTCAGCCAACTGGATCGGCTTTGCAAGGATCTGTTTCACTAGGTCCGCCATAACAAAAGATGGCCGGAACTACAGTGGTACGATTGCCGGCGGCAGCGATAACAGGAAGGAAAGATTGCCGATTTGGATTTTGGAGGGTTTGTGTGGATCAATGGAGATTCGAGAATTGGAGATGGACGGAATGGTGACGACTTGGTTTTACTTTTACATAGTCATAAAGTCAAAACTCGTTTTCATTGGTCTTTCATACGTGTTACAAAATGGTACTATTTATTTATGGAAATTATTATCAAAATTCAATTAATGCGATAAACAATAATTAAAATTATATGTTACAATGATTGATCATCTTTCGAATACAAACAATGGTTGACACTGATTTTCCTAACACGTGATTTTAAACAATCTGATTGGTGAAAATTTGCTAGGAAGGTACTCTTTCAGATTTAAAGTACTAAGATAATGCTTTTAAATGGTTTGACAATGATTCTGCTTAAGAAATTATCTCTTATAATTCCTTTCAAAACGAGTAAGTTGCAATAAGTGACAATGATGGCCTTTTATAACCATCATTGCATTAAATGATGGCCTTTTATAGCCATCATTGCATTAAATGATGTTGTTCAACTTTAATGTGTGTTTTTATCTGATTTCCTGATTAGTGCATGCTTATACTCCTCATTTCATCTTTCGATGTAGACACATGTTAACCCAACCTATCCTTTTGTATGCATATGGAATTGTAAATGATGTATGATACTAATAAGAACGTACTTTAGAACTTAATTTATTTGACATGGCAAACATGTTCTCATACCAGGATGAGAGCTGATAGACTCGATGACCCAAACTTATTAGATAAGTTTGCACTCCAATTTCAGCTTGCCAAGAGTAGTGTTTTTCATATTATTTTTGACTTTATTTTATATTGATCTTCTTATGGCTAGATGACAATCTAATCCGCTTTGATGACGATCTTGATCTTGTTTCAACTAGTTTTCAATTTTGTTCAAGGTTTGTTATTTTTGGATCAATACAGATAGTTACAATACTTTTACAATAGAAAAATCCTATTTATCTTTCCGAATTCTAAACTATAAAACGGATTCCAGCTAGATTTTTTATGAAGTGAAATATTCAGATGATTAGACCACCTTAGAGGATTTTGAGTTTATGGGAATTAAGACTGAGTGAACATGTGAAGTGTTCTATTCGGATCTTGAAAAATTACATCAGAGATTTGATCTCAAAACATTTTTTAAGATGTAAATTTGAATATGATTATTGACACATACAAAGTAAGTCCTTAAAATGAAATCAGATTATGGAATTCGATTATAAGAAAGCTTAGTTCGGATGCCAATACTCTTTGTTAGATCCAAATGAATGTTGTATATGATGCAACAATTATAAGGCAAGAATATCTTCTAAGTGTTGAAACAGATATTATTTGTATTATTGTCAAATCCGATGGTTGAGACCAACATATACACACATATATGTATGTATGTATGTATGTATGTATGTATGTATGTATGTATGTATGTATGTATGTATGTATGTATGCACACATATATATATATAATACCTATTTTCTATATAATTTATTTTATAAAAAAATTATATTAACTTTAAGATGCTTTAGAATTTTTTTAAATTGAGATAAATAGTTATGTTTTCAAAACTTGATATGCTCAAATAGAAGAAGTGATATGAGTTTGGAAAAACCCTTTAAATTTCCATTTTTCTTATTTATAAATGGGATAAAAAAGTATGAGTATCATAAAAATTAAAAGATTGTGTATGCATTATTGACTTGTACATAACGTTTTAACACTAGCAATCTTGAAAAACTAAGGCGGCGTTTGTTTTTTAAGGGATTCTGAAGTCTGATTTCACTTCTGATTATAAGAGGTGATGCTGAAGTCTGAAATCTGAATCAGTCAGACAGTTTGCTTTTATATCTAAAGTCTGAATCAGTCAGACTGTTTGTTTTTATATCTAAAGTCTGAATCAGTCAGACTGTTTGTTTTTGTAAACTGACAAACGTCTGAAGTATGAAATCTGAATCAATTTATTTTAACTACATATGTTCATGAGGTTGGTGAAAAGGAGGCCGTTGATGTTTGGATGTCGATGAAAGGGGGAGGATCGATCTATCACACGGTCCGTGTGTGTATCTACATATATAGTAATACTTCAAAATTTTACCGGGAAGGAAAGACTCCAAGGGTGTAGAAAAAGTTTGTTATCAACATGTTTTATAAATTATATTTTGTATTGTAATACAAATTATATTTTAAATTTAATAATATTAATTAATATATTAATGTTAAATTTATAATCTAATAAATATAAAATTATATCAATATTAATTAATTACCAAAAAAAACAATTTCTTATTTAAAAAGCATGCTCACAAAAACCATAATTTCGAATACAAAAGTATGTCATGTCATCATTTTTTCGTGCTTTTCACTTAAAATCTTCATTAAAAAAGGGTAAGCTAAATGTATCCTTACTTAATAATTTTCTCCTCACTTACGTCTAGGGATGCTCAAAAACCCAATCAACCCAATCCGAAATAACTCAATCTGAATCAACCTGATGTTTAATAGAGTTATAAAATCTTCAAAATATAGGTATGGGTTACTTTTATTTGAACCCAACCTAACCCGATGAACCCAATCTTCTTTTATTTCTTGGATTTAATATGATTGTTGAGTTTATATTAACATGTACATTAAACAACTACATCATTTATATATGTTCAGAAACTATGAATATATATATATATACACATGTAAATTGAGAAAATTAATTGAATGTGATATAATTAGGATTTAAGAAGTATAGATAAGTTGTACCAAATAGTTGATGATGAAAATGGGTAGACCAAATAAAACAATATATTCAAGATAAGAAAAGTATTTTGATGTACCAAAGTATCAACCCGACCAACACGACAAACCCGTACAAATTGGATTGAGTTGGATTGAGATTTTTTAAACCACAAGCATTGAGTTGTTTAAATACCTTCAACCTGATCAACTCAAGATTTACTTTTAACATTCTTAATGCATGATTTAATTTTATTATAAATATATAATGGGTGCATACGTTAAGAAATCGTTGTAATGGATGATAATATTCAGAAATGAGACTTTTGAGAATTTGAAACAAGTAGTTTAGAATTTTTAACCATTGGAAAAAAGGGTACCTTTGGAGAATGATATCATTACCAGAAATTAACTCAAATGACCATTTTATTCATTTAAATTGGGTAAGATATCTTTTTTTCAATTTGATACAAATATCAGTACATCCACAATATCCAGGTAAAAGACAAAAGAAAAGTCAAATTCAACCAGTTTAGCGTCGCAATTGCAGATTTAGCTTGTCACAGACTTGAATATTGTAAAAGTAGTAACATTTGATTCAATCGGAGAAAGAAATGATTAGAAAACCAGAAATGCAAATAACTTTATGGTTATTGAAGGTGGGGTAGCATCAAGACAGTTGTACTAAAACTAAAATGACATGCCAGACATCTAGGTAGGTCCATTTGACAGGGCAATACTCTTTGTGGTGGAATTTTATTTAATGGGGAGTGCTAATGACACCCCATTTGATGTCAGAATTAGGTCATTCAAGCATTGGGAATGTAAAAAACATATATTGATGTTGATGTGTGTGAGAAAGAAATTCATAGATAGGGGTGCATTAAGCAATGCATAGGAGTGCATTTAGCCCACCCCTATTTAATTTAGGTGTTGTTTGATGATTAAAATTTGTTTGAATTGTTAAAGTTTTATTTTGTTTATGATTGATAAGAGTTGTTTTAAAGTCTTGAAAGTAAAATTAATAAGATTGTTTGTTTTTATAAACTGAAAATTGTTTGAATTTATATATGTTGTGAATTATAAACATTTTAACCAAAATATATTGTTGTCAATTTTTAAATACATTCAAATCCTATCAAAATACATCCATTGATCTACGTACAACTGAAAATATGAAGGAAACGATTGATACAAACACACATTTTAGATCACGTGTCAGAAACTGATCGTTGAAACAGCGATCTTCATTTACAACAGTGATGCAGCCGTATCAAACCAGCCCTTTGTAAGAAAATTAGCACATTTTGGAACCAGAGTTCCCATGGCCCTAACCACCATCCACCAGATCTCTAATTTTTACTCAAACCTGATGAATATCGAAACACTTTTAGGAAAGGCCATGTGGTGTGCAGACGAAAGATCGTCGTCTTGGAGTCACTGGCTTTTCCGATCTCCTCTCATCCCTTCACCAGACCATCGAAAGAGAAGAAATCCATCACCATTGTCCTCCATCAACGATTATATCTCTCTTTGATGGGGCGAACCGTTCACATATCAGAGAAATCACCGACCGCTTTTAAAGTCTTGTTAGGGCCTCTTTGGCAAAGACACGACAAGAGGATGATTTACCTCAAGTTGAATCGGATGACAGTAAGAGATAAAGTGGTTAATGAAAAAACAAAGTCGTTATTCGGTAAGTGATAAAGTGGTTAATGAAAAAACAAACACCAGCTTAGCATAAATAGAATACCAGTGACCTAAAAAGCATGACAGATAAGTCATCTGGGGGTGTAATAGAATCAGATCCCCATGGACCCTTTTGTTCATCCCTAAAATCAATGCAATTTGTTGTGTTGTAGAATCAGTGCATACTGTCGACCACAGGATCACCACAACAACTATAATCATACAAATGCCAATAGTTCTAAAATGGAGTTTTCCTAAAAACAGGAATAAAATCCAACAGGGCTATGAGATTGAAGATGACCACTTCGTCATTTACTTAAATACATTCATTACAAGCAGTATGCAAATAAAGCATCATAATGAAGAATCAGAAGATGAATTCTTGAATATGATTTCCCACTTTTCATACTGAAAAAGAACAGGTGACAGTAAATATTATGTACCCTACATGAAAATGATGAAACCCCATGTAATTGAAACCCGAAAAAAGGAAAAAGGAAAAAGGAAAAAAAAAAAAACTTTCATGAAATATATTATATAAAAAAGCAAGCAAAAATCTAATGGAAACCCCTTGATCCTCTAGATTGATAGAGCTCCAACCTACCTTTGGACTCCTGCAAAAGCTTTTCCACTTTTTCATTTTGGATCAATGCAGATTGCTTGGACGCCCATTCAAGAACAGTAAGCACCTCAGCCTGTGCTAGATCCTCACTATCAGGCACATGTTGAGCGATGTAGCATAGAAGCATCAATGCAGGGCTTTGAACCATTTGCTCCCCAAAATAGACCAATTGAATCAAGTGTTTTGCTCCTCCAGCGCTGATAATCGCCTTGGAGTGATCAAGCCGTAGGTAGTTCTCTGTGCAGGCAAATTTGGTCAATGCTAAGGCAGCTTCTYTAGTGATCTCAGCCTCWCGTTCTTCAAGAAGCTGAACCAACGGTTGRATCATTCGTGACTCTGTRGCACGAAAAGTTCTAGCCAAGTTCCCAATCGCTTTAACACATGGAAGTARRAGTCTTGAGTCTGCTTTCTCTATAATTTGYAGTAACTGTTCAACAACAGCTTTGCAAGCTGGTGYATTKGGCTTAAAAGCCGCTCTTCGCAAGTCGGAATCTTSCTCTGCTACASCGGTGATTTCCATGAGMGCCATTGCAGAATTGTATCTAACTTCTTCCGGGCCTTTCTCCAATAGAACAGCAAAACAGAGTAAAGCTCTTGATTCAGTAATGCTTCTACAAATAGTGGAATTATCTTTGGCAAGGTGCCAAAGAGCTTYAGCAGCCATGGATTTCATGTRAGCTTTAGTTGCAGGGTCCTCTAGTTCCCTACCTTTGTGTATACCAKTTGCATATAGCGAAAGACTTGAGTTATGATGCACATTTTGCTTCTTGACGACAACATTTTCGGTCTTCTGATTCRAATTTGGTAACAACCCATTGGTTYCCTGATTGACAGSAGGCTTCAAACCTTCTTTCATGGCCATGGTGCTAGCAACCACACTGTGCATTTTGAAGGGTTGTTGCCTGTTACCAGAAGGATGTGAAACTCGATGCTTATCTTCATCATCATTTGGTGGAGTTGTGGATTTGTTGTTAGGATTGTGATGAAGCCCATTGGAGTTGGTGCTACTATTAGTGTTGTTACTAGCTAGAACAACAGCATGAATCGAAGTGGGTTTGTTGCTGGTGATAGCATACTTACTGTGTTCTTCGACGGTCTCGAAAGCAAGATGRCCGACAAGCAATCTCACRATGTTGTGCTGCGCGAARAGATCTTGGCATTTGGGATAATGGCGRACGAGCTCMGATACAGCCCMAGCAACAACCGCCTGYACCTTCATCGGACCTTCTTTGAGAATTTTCACRAACACKGAGCAGACACCGGCGTGGATCATGTGTTCAACGCTCTCAGGRTCACGRCCGAGCAAKCCGATCGCCGACGCAGCGTTCTCCTGACCTTCCGGTTTCCCCTCTTTCACCAATTTCAGCAACGGATTGACTCCACCTTCTTCAATTATCAGCTTCCCGTACCGATCATTGTCGCGTGCAAGCGACACGAGCGACGCCGCCGCGTCGGACCTGTCATCTAGGGTTCCGGTGTATAAAATAGCGATTTGCTCCCAAATTAAACCCAGAATAGGCTCGTTAGCGGCGATGGGAGGGAGACCGAGGTACTCATCGGTGGAATTGTTAGGTGCGGAGACACGTAAAAGCCAGGAGACATCGCCGATGGAATTCTCAAGCTGTGACGACATCTTGCGGAAGGCAGCAGCAGGTATGATAGTGAACACACGCTTTACAAAGCCGTTGTTCCGACATTTTAGGGCTACAGAAAGTRCTTTTTCTAGAACCTGCTCGGTATCGTCGATAATACGCCGTGTAGGTCGTTCATAKAGATCGTTRCTSGCACGGGCGGCTTGACGGAGGAGTCCAGCGAGCTTTTCCGTCTTGGATTTGAGTTCAGCACATTCTTGCTTGTTGTTACAGGCTTCCTCGGCGAACTTGATGACTTGGTCAGCTAACTGGATCGGCTTTGCAAGGATCTGTTTCACTAGGTCCGCCATAATCAACAATGGCCGGAACTAGGGTTGCCGGGGGCGGCGATAACAGGAGGGAGAGATTGCCGATTTGGATTATGGAGGGTTTGTGTGAATGTATAGAGAAATGGAGATGGACGGGTTTTACAAAGTCATAAGTCAAAACTCGTTTTCATTGGTCTTCCACGCCTTTCATACATGTTCCAAAATGGTAGACTATTTATTTATGGAAATTATTATCAAAATTAATATAATGCAATTGCAATATAACAATAATGAAAACCCAAAAAAATAAATTATATATATTACAATAATTGATGAATGTTTTCAACACAAATAATATTATTCGTACAAATCAAATGAATATTTTTTGAATTTAAAATAATAATCATAATAAACAATTTATTATGAAAATGATAATAAATTGTTTTTTAATAAAAAAATATAATATATTATAGATGTTTAGGTAGTAGTATTGAAATAGTTGGATTGGGACCCCAGTAGTCATCAGAACCTATTCCACTCTCAAGTTGGGAGGAGACTTTTGACTCCTACTTTTTGTTGTATAAAGTATGATTAGGAGCCAAATAGCTAAGAAAGCCGTTCTTGTCATTTTAGAGCTCCTGCACACTTGATTTATATATATATATAGGGTATATTTTTTTTACAATCTTGTGCATTTGTATAACCTTTATAACCTAATTAATTGAAATATTTATAGAAATGATTGGAGTTCATTTATTATGATTTGAATATTTATGGAATATGAATAGAGTTTATTAATTATGATTAATACTTTATATTAGGAAACAATTAATTGATTAAAAATTGAATGGTTGAGATGAGGGTTGAATATTTTGTGTGTTTACTCTACTAACCAACATCAACCAATCATATTCTTTCTTTACTTTATGTTCAAATGTAACTTATAAATTGAATACAATGGTCATTTTGTAATTTGACCTTTATGTAACTCCCTAATAATTATTTGAGAGTTACAAATATTTTAAGATCCCTCTAATTGATCATGAGTTAATTCCGATGTTCATGGTGTTCATATCCATGTAATGTCCATGAACATTCACCGTGTTCATATAAATGTTCACCGTGTTCATGCGATGTTTTTACAAAAGTACCATCTGAATCGTCGTTCATAGGCATCTCAATTAATATATTAATTAAATGATTATTTTTATAGTCTCATTTAATAAGGACCGTTTGATGAGAAAATGAACGATCAAGATCGGGTTAACATAGTGTGTACAATAGTTTTGGTTAGTATTTGAACCAGCCTATATATATATATATATGGGGGCTAATTCAAGATAAAACTGATTAGTTTGAGCTAACTGTGAGATTCAATATCAATCACAAATCAACGGATAAATAAGATAATTAATAATTATGGTAGTTTGAGTTAAAATTATAATTAGAGGGCATTTTAGGTATTTTTAAAAAACTTCTCTCTCTTCTCTCCTCTCTCTGACCTCCAAACTCTGGCCTCCGGCTAACATTATTCCGGCAGGTACCAAGTAATCACAAAGATACACAATGTAATACCTATTGTGATATACTGTGATACCATTGTGATACCAACTATGATACCAACTCAAACCATAAAAACAAAAGCAAATCCATTGTGATACACGGTGATAAACACAAGGAAAATAATGAAATTGCATATTGTGATACAGTTCATAAAATAAGACTACCGGATACACTATGATACATTGTGATCACCTGCAGTTATTTTACAGCCTTGCAATGAATACCCGGAGACGAAGAAGAGTGCCAACGATTGCATTGCAGTGGAAGACTGATTGGTCGGAGACGGAGAAGAGTGCCAACGTACCTTCTCTTGTAACAACATCTCCGTTCCTTCACAGCCACTGCGGTTTCTTGCCACTGCCGAAACGTACCTTCTCTTGTACCTTCTCTTGTAACAACCTCTCCGTTCCTTCACAGCCACTGCCGGTTTCTTGC